TATGTCATAAGAAGTGAAGGATTCTCAAGCTGAATAATGCATGGGCTGACAGAGTAGTAATTGCTGCACACTGCCAATCAGCTGGCCGAAAGTAAGTTCACACAACGTGAGCTCATCCTAATGAAATGCCATGAAGGAACAAAGTATGTGATAACTACAGCTGTAAACAATCTGATTTTTGTGTTGTTTAACTTTTGGGATTAATCTAAAAAGTTTACCTATTTTGAGGGCTTCTTGGTTCACAGCGGTGCGGTCTTGTACTGCGGTCAACTGAGAAAATGCAGTCGCAAATGGCAGTGAAAAGATGAGCGAGGAGAGACAGAGACAGCTGTTCTCAGCTTCAAATTTCACTTTAAAAAAAACACATTGGGGACAGAACTAAGGTAAACATATCAACATTTCTAAATTATGTTAGGAACAAATTACTTTTTTTTAAAAAACCCTTTCTGAATTTGAGAATCTGGAAAAACTGACATGTTTGTCTTGAGACAGCAAAACGCTTTCTTGAACATTTTATGAAAATGTGAAAACTTAAAAGTTAAGCATTGTGAATATCGCGCTACAATGGGATTAATCACTTTGAATTGTTTTAGTCGCTTGACAGAACTAGTGATAACAAGTGGACAAGTCGTAGGAAATATGAACTACAACCCCCAGTAATGCTGTTTTAATGTAAAGACGGTAAACACAAACTCCTCCCCAAGACATTGTCACTCAATCGCAAAATTATATAAATAAATTTGGACCCAAGTCTCGAATTGAGAAAATTAAAATCCCGAAGGTGAATGATATTGCAGATAAAATCAATGTGTGCGACAGACGCTGGCTTTTACTAGTCTAAAATATTTTTTAATCACAAAATGTGAAACAAACCGATTTAGTTGTTCTCAACCACGGGTACAATGCAGGGGAGCTTACGGGGTTCCGGTCCCCTGGGCTTCAGATGACTAACAAAACACATCTTACTTCTGCTCTGCTGCCCACCCACAATGCTTTTCACACGCACATGGGGGGACGAATGGACGGTGCAGCGGCTCTCACAGAATCATAGAGTTTAAAGACACAACAGAAACTTGGAATGGGAAATTAGGTGCCATGTAAGTGACCAATAAAGTTTTGTTTGATTTCAAAAGGATCTAATTAAAGGAAATTTCAAACTCTAACTCCTTTGGCTGCCCAGGAGAGTGGCCCTAACACGGTAAATAACTTTAACGACGCCCATAAATTTCTTTGAACTACTCTCTCGACCAGTAACCAAGTTGCCTCAACAGCTGCTCCTACTTACACAGTGTACCCACTCTTTCTCCGAAAAAACCGCCCTCAATTAGCTCCTCTCTTAAATAACCGCTCTTTTCACTCGCAGTTTCCGGCTACGCATGCACCTCCTTTCAGCGAGCCGTCCCATCCGTCTCCGAAACACCCCCACAAAAGGTCTTGCACTTCTCTCTGTGTGCCCCTTAAATAAGGGCCACACTGAGCCACTTCCCATTCACATCGGATCATTTGCATAAAGGTCCTCTTCTTATTCCGAGTCACCAGAGGAGTTCCGGCCGGGCGCAGCCGTAAACACGGGACTCTAGTGCTGAGCCAGAATGAAAAATTCTCTATTATTATTATTTTATTTAGTTTGTCTTTATTCTTAACCTTTTATGTCCTAAATTTAAAATCTCCGTCTGGATTTTTTATTTTTTTGCTTATTTTAATTGTACGCAGTTCTTTAAATGTATTGTGAGTAAATATATTTTTGCCCATTTATTCATAACAGCTGGAACTTTCAACATCTACTAAGTTATTGTCGTAATTTACCGTCTGTTAAAAAAGTGACCCTGAGATTAATTTCACTCCCTGCTACGGCAGGGGCGAAATTACCGTAATAACCCGACATTGGCTGGAAAGCGCAACGTCTCTCCTTTCCTAAACCGTTGGAACTTTTCAGACAGCGCTACGTGTGGCGGAATTTCGGTACTGCACGTTTGGCTTCATCGTTGCCGCTATGTTTAGGATTTTCGGGGTTAAAATTGAAGGATGTCATGTTTTGATAAAGACTTTCGTGGAAAAGATTTTGAGGCTTTGACCAGTCATGTTGGATACCTCCATTTTGAAATGATTTGCTAAAAAACATATTACTTTTTCACATTAGATCAGTTAGAATCACCAAAATAATTGAATTAAGAACATCTGAGTTAAATTAAGAAGAACTTGTCAGTACATTTTAAGGCACACCTGCTTACTTGTGTGAATTGTGTGATATATATTAAAAAAAAAACCAGCCATCATTCTGTTTTGGGAGGAGATGGGATGAAAGGCCGCTCAGACTGGAAGAAGCTATTGCTTCAAAAGCGACGTAGGAAAAGGCAGAATCCACTCTTCACTCTGATGAAAGAAAAAAAAAAAAAAAAAAAAGGGGCTTGGTCTCATGATGTCCATTGTTTAGAATCGAGGGGGGAAAAGCCTGGGAACGCCGTCGCATTGTGACGTTCAGGTGGGGCCGCATCATGTTGTGTGTTAAACTACAGGAGGGAACCGATGCACTTCGTGGGAAAATAACTTTATGAGGAAATTATTGAACTCATTTGTCCAGGAAGTTAAAGCTCAGGCACAAATGGATCTAACAAAAGCAAGATTTTTTTACCCAACGACTATCCCACCAAAAATTATTCACAAGGCTGTGGAAGGACAGTGAAGTCAGTGTTGTTCAAGAGGCTGTTGAAAATCTACAATCTTAGTCAAGAGGAACATTTTGGGACGGAGCTGAAAAGAGGCGTAGAAACCCGACTCATTCCAGTTCTTCTGTAACTACTGCGAGGAGATGGCGGAAACCAAGTCGTACACCATAAAGATATTTGCATTAACTAATCAAATCTGTCTAAACGTCTGAATTTGAAGATGGGAATAAATTGTTTGATTATTATTCTGGCAAGTAGGGGAATAAGTTTTATTTCCAACTCCGAGACGTTGAGGAAAAAAAAGTAAGACGTCTTTTTTTTTTTTTGTTTGAAATGTTTTGTTCAATATCAGTTTCTCATAGAAAAACAAAATGTAACAATCGGAGGAATTTACCCAGATTCTGTTTCCATCAGTGCTTCGTGCTCGTCGTTGACAGTTGGTTCCCATTATCTGTGCTTATTGTTCATCGTTATTGTGATTCTGATCACATTTCATAGAGATGAAGACCTTTCTACACGTGAGCAGAGAGAGAGAGAGAAAAAAAATGACTACTTCTTCCACGCGGACCACAATCAGGACGTGCGACCGCAGCATATTACCAACATATGCTGTGTACAAAATAACGATGCTGTCAGCTGAACGCTTGATTTATTTAGGTTTAATTTTTAATGATTTATGCTTCCCAAAACTGTCTGCCAGCTGTGTGTGTGTGTGTGTCTCTGTCTGTCTGTCTGTCTGTGTGTGTGTTTTCCTTCAAAGAGGGAAAAATTTATGCAAATAATAGCTTTGGGAAGCTTGTTGGAACAGTCGAAACTGGCAACTAAACACCGAAGACAAAATGTCTTGTACGGACATGCAAAAGCAATAAATGAAGAATGTGGACTTCTGACTCCACTGGGTTGCAGGATAATCCTGTGTATGTTTCATAAAGCAATTCATCATTAAATCAAAGGAACATCTTTTTTTTATACATGTAGAAAAAATAAAATAATCCCTTCTTTCAATAAACATGGTTTCTTTTTAGTGTGCTGCTTGAAAAGCAATTTGAAAAGAAATGGGAATATGATTGATGTGGTGAATCAGTAAGTCATTCATAAAGTGTGTGTGTGTATATATATAATATACATTTAAATTTGAATTCATTTATCTGAGCTACACCTCAAAAATGTATGAACATAACTCAAAATATTAAAACGACCTTTAACATCAGGTTAAATCAGTGTCAAAAACTCCAATATGTAAATAAAAAAGTACAAATCTTTAGTCATAAAATAATTTAAATTCAGTTGCAGTAAATTGTTGACACTCCATAATTTGAGTAGATCCAACATCTGAAGTGTGTGTTCTGCACTGGTTTGTTTTGGGGTCCCAGTGAAACCAAGAACGCTACGATAAAAACAATAAATGAAGAAGTTTCCTGAAATTAATACAATTGTCTGGGTTAATAAAATCATCTGACTGTGGAGGCTGTAAAAACACCAAATCCAGAAAAGCAGGATATAAAACCGATAAAATCGATTCTTTTTTTTGTGTGTGTTATTCAGAAACGTCGTCCCATTTAAAATCTATTCCTGTTTCTTGTAGTTTGCGTTTCTCCGTATCCACTCTGGCTTGAACTGCTGTTGCCATGGAGGCTCTGATCCAGATTATTAAAATCTATTTCCATCTAAAGGACATTTGACCATCTGAGCAACAGTCCAGTCATTTTTATTTTTTTTTCCTTAGCCAAAGTTACAGCCATTGGTCATCAAGTACATATGACTCAGCATGTCATTTCTGCACCCAAACTCTTGAACCGGCGTTGTTTTTACAATCTTTTTAAGGTTGCGGTCCTCCCAAATGCCTGTGCTCTTTTTGTTGCCGCACTTTTTCCTACCACTCAACCTTCCAGCACGCTGACCTGCCAGCTTCCTCAGCAATGATGCGTTTTCTTCCCAATGGGGGATGTCAAGCCACTGTCACATTTTCTTATTGTTGTCTAATATTTCTGCATTAAAAATATTTTACACATTGGTTCTGTGTAACACTCAGATATTCTCACATAATTTTTTAATATTTGCAAAAATAGACGCTTGAAATGTGCCACTCAAAGCATTTGGGTTTCACTTCATCACTGCAGGACTGAAACAAATTATTTTTCTGATACTTTCTGTTGTTGTAATTCCACACCCACCATGTTTAAAATATAAAACTTTGCACGATTGTGCAATTTTATTTATTTACCATGTTCTGGTGGCGATTCTGCTCTGCTAGGAGCTACACCTCCCCCCCCCCGAATGAAAACGTAAATTTTCAGACATCAGCGTAGAAATGAAAGAAAAGAAACTTCAAACTACGAAGTCGGGAATTATGTATTTTGCCGTCAACACAACAGTAGCAATGAAAGCTTTTTCTCTTTTCTTCTCCCCTTTCCTTTTCTAAAAGGTAATGTTTTAGAAACGACGTGGTCATCTCCTAATAGTTTCTAAAAATGTATTTCTTATTACATTTAGTACAAAAAAAAGACATCTCTACCCGTTAGTGCTTTTGTTTTAAGATACTATAACATAAATAGACAATTTATTTTCAGTGTTCAGAACAGACAGTTCCAGTGTAACTGGAAAACTAACATTCTCCACCGTATTCCAGTTGGCAGCAAAGGGTTTGACAGAGTTCCCCACTCGAAACTTTGGTGCAACACATTGCACCGCGCTTTTACAAAATGTTCTTCATTTCTCGGCCTCTGACACCGGCCCCAGACAACCTGGGCGGGTGCGGGTCGAGATTCAGTTAAGCTCCCGTTTAGCGGAGATACAACAAGATCTATAAAAGTTGTTTTTTTGTTGTTTTTTTTGTTTTGTTTTTTCTTTAAATCATAGATTTGACAGATCTTCCCCATCAGTCACCTCAAATCAGCTGTGGCCATTTTTTGTCATTCCCGTCCGTCTCTGAGTTCCTCCCAAAAACTGACGCGTGCATTTCCCCCTCCCGAACCCCACCCGGCTGCAACGCGCAGTCCCCTCTGACGGCCTTCTTCTTCCTTACGGATGGTCCCAACTTCACTGTGGATACATCAGTACAAGAGCACAATCCCTATCTGACAGCAAAGTTCTGGGCTATGATCTACTGATACTTAGCAATTACTTTCTGAAAAGCAATTAGATAAGATTCTGCTGTGCAAAACGACGCCACGGAGAGCTGATAGTGTTAAATCCCGTTCGCTTAGCTATACAATCTCTCACTGCTTGAAGACGTGCGGACATCTCGCTCTGTCGGGTCTTTGTTCAACTAGTCCTTGGCGTTTCGCCTGCCGATGACGACATTCCCTTGAGGCCTTTTTACTTGCAGGTAAAAACCTCCGTCCTCTCGCTGCACGTGTTGCATTTGACGAAGCAGCACCATTGGAACTTACAGTTGCACTGCCACACTTTGGTGTACTGGTGCGTGTTGTAGCCGCGGCCGCAGCACATGAGGTCGCAGCCGTCCGTGTGCGGCGACGTGCGGTTGCACAGGCGTCCCTGGGTGCCCACACTCCCCGTGGCCGCATCCTCCTCGCAGTAGTTGGGCGACCTCTCGATGTAAACGAGGTCCGTCTCCATGGGCTTGCGGTAGCCCTGAGTCTGCTTCACTTTGAGGTGGGTGGGCTGGCGCAAGCGGCTGGCCCGCACCACCTCCACGTGCACGGCGTCGTTGTACTTCTCCTTGAGGATGTAGCCGATCTCGCGGAACTTCGGGAGCGTCGTCCAGCAGGTCTTGGTGGTGCAGGAGCCGGAAACGCCGTGGCACTTGCACTCCAGCTTCATCCTTTCTTCCAAAACCTGCAGAGTGGTGAGGGAAGATGAGAACAGCTGTAACTGGAGCAGACAAACACACGTCACCCAGCGGCACAACTGTTTTGTGTACGGATGAGGACATTTATCCAGAACTAAATATGGTGAAATTCAAGTTAAGTCAGTCTCTCAGTGCCGAGTCACAACGAATGTCATCTGGAGGCTAAACAGTCAACCAAATAATCAACCAACCAGCCTATTAAAGAAACTAATCGAGCAATAATCCAACCAAACACAAACGTACTGAGTCGTTCAACAACAAGCACTTGCTATTCGTGGTTCAGTATTCACAGATTCAGCTGCTTGCAATTTTTTTCAGTGCAACTCCAAAATATAAATGTAGATATGCCCATCTGTGGATGATTTTCTAAGGTAAGCTGAAACACCTTGGTGTATTGCTATTTGACAAGCTATTGGCTGCTGTTCGTCAAGCAGCCAATCTAGGAGTGCCATTCGTTTTCCTTGATTATTGGCTGTACCAAATATAAGTGAACCTGCAAACTAAGATGGTTTTCACTTGGTGCATTAATGCATATTAAGCATCTTTAGAGTTAGCCTAAGTTTTCATGAATTTTATCTATGATCTCCAAGCACCGAATACTGGAGAGCCATTTTAATAAACTAACAAATCAGGCAATTAACCAACCAGTCATCCAAGTAGCCAACTAATAAATATCTAATTATACAACCAACCAATAAACCAGATACTTATAGAATTAAACACCCAATCAATAAAATAACTATCCAATCAACAATCAATTAAACAAATAATTAAGCATTTAACTCACCAGTTAATCAAGTGGTTAATCAACAAAGTAACTAACCAATGGCACGCTTTTGGTTACCGGCTATCAAACTGCTTAAGGCCAATTCTGAACCAACAAGAAAAAGAAGAAGAAGCACTTCATGTCTTTGCTGATATTTCCAGTAAGAGATGATGGCGCTGATTACTTGCAGCCACAGGCACTTCGTCAGACGCTGTCAGTCTAGATGACTGCCGACCTGGGCGAACAAATCCAAACATATCTTAATTCTCTCCCCTGCGTGTCACGGCCTGTCCTGAAAGAAAGGTAAATTGTACGTACGAGTAATGTACCATCCTGTAATTTTCTCTATCTTCCCTAAACCACATCAGTCAAGGGTGGAAAATAAGCCGTCAGTCATCCTGAAAGGGTTAAATCAAGATTGTTTCAGGAAACGTGTTGCACATGCAAATCCCAAACAAAGACCGGCTCAATTATAGGTTTGCGGATTGAAGTGGAACCCGTAATGATAATATACATGTTAGTAAATTAGCAAAGCACTCTATTATCAAAGAATTATTATAATTGTTTTTTTCCAGGTTTGGATTCTTCCCTCTTAAGGCCTGGTTTCTGTTTCTTTGTGGTCATCGACCACATATGGCAGCAAAGAAGAAGAAGAAAACCTACTCTCTCAGGATATGGTGACTATTGTATTCTGACACTTCAAAACTTAAAAACACTCACAATAAAAAATTGCACTTTGTTGAGGTTGAGCTGAATCATTCTTAAAAGGCAATGGGACCCAGAAACAAGGGAGTGGAGTTCAAATGGCTTCTATTAACACATCTATAATAGTCTGACATGAGGCCTTTAACCCAATTAGGAGCCCTCAACTTGCACTGAACCAAGCGTTTGACTTTTTTTTTTTTTTTTGTCGAAGACGCTGGTTGGTTGGTTGGTTGGTTGTGCAGCTTTTTCCTGGCGCCCAGCCTTTCCAGAGGCACAAGTCATCCCTTCTGTCCAACACTTCTACGAACGTTTGCGAGTGACGTTCAGTATCTTTGTCAGTCTTGTCTGTGCACCAGTGCGGTCACAGTTTCCCAGTTTAAAGACGTTTGATTGAAAAAACATGAGTTCCCCGAGCTACATAAAAGCCAGGGTCAGCTGTCAGATTTGCCGCGGATGTTGATTCAGAGCGAGGATTTCCAAAAATGCGCAGCGCAGAACCCACAAGGAATGCCTGGTGTAGGGAGCCTGACAGATGCATGGAAACATTTACTTAAAGTACGTCGATCAAAGCCTCCGATCTGTTCCTGATTAGTCCGGCACGGCCGAGAGTCCCGTCTCCAGATTGGTTGTCAAACACCCCGCAGCCCTCCCAATTCTGCACCATTTGAGCAGTGTGTTGTTTCACTGGGTGTTCTTTTACATTTGGTTTGATCACTGAATATAATCATGTAATTATAGTCTTCTGTTTTAATGATGGTCCATATTAGTGTTTGGAAAAAAAAAATAATCTCATCGGTCCTCCTGTGTTGAGTTTTCTCTCATCAGAACCAGGGTTTCTTTTTATTATTGGCAATAAATATACAACAGGAGGGGTTTTTGGCCAAACTGTTGTGGCATTTAATGCAAAAGTGAAAAGATTCATAATTGTTTTGTAATATTATTTTTTGCTTTGCAAGTGCAGTTAACCACAGTATTGTGGAATAAAACACATTGTGAAACCGCAAACTACACAGTTTAGGCTTCTGGAGCAGCGGCCGCACTATGATTACAATTAAATGATGATTAAAAGGTAGAATAAGCTCACATATGGCAGATTTACTTGGCATAACCGTGACGTTTTCTGTGAAAGATGAGCAAATTATATTATACAAGCTACGTTGATGTAGGAAGATAAGACATCGCTCAGTTTCCATTATCGATGTTTAGCAAAGTTTCCCTTCATGCTGTTCATATAGGTTAAGAGTTGGGGCGTGAAAATTTTCTTAATGTTTTATTTTACATATTTGTTAAAATGATAATTATGCTGTGACTGTATCATTTAAGACCAACGAAAAAAAAAAAAAAAAAAAAAAAATCAAGCTCCTCTGCCTTCTCCCTATGAGAAGGCAGAGGATCTACTTTCCTCTGAAAAAAATACGTAGCTCCATCAGAAACAACCAATCAGAGCCAGGAGGAGGGTCTTAGAGCTGCCAATCACAGTCGTGTACACAGCTTATGTCCTCCCTCTTGCTCTCTGCTGCGCTGCAGCCAGTTCACACCAGAGCCTGTCGTGAACGCTAAGGCTAGTTAGCATGAACGCCGATTACGGCAGACAAACAGTTTTCCTCGAACATTAACTTGATTCTCTGCCATTAATCCACATTGAGCAGCGAATACACGGGGTTGACTGACAGCGCTAAGACACTCCTCCTGCTCTGATTGGTTGTTTTTTGACCAATCAGAGAGCACATCTGCAGACAGGAATAGCAGCACAGGGAGGAAGTGGAGGAGCTCAATTCTTTTTCACAGATTACCTGTTTCATATTAACGACATGGTGAAAACGATTTTTTAATAAAAATAAAAAAAATAAAAGTTACATAATGATGCTTTAAATAAGATTCCAGAAAAAGTGAGTGGAGTTTTCTCTGGATTTCTGGCAGCAGAATATCACACTCTTCCTCGGCGTCAAACGTACACGTCTTCCTTCCACTTGACAAAAACAGTCGCCTATCGCTCTTACTGGCTGCAGACTAACTACCACAGCAGGTAGCCCAACTAATACTGCCTAATTACTAACCATTATGACACTTTTTATTAGCACAATGCTAACACCAAGATGCTGTTTTACAGCTTTTTAGACTTTCAAATAGCCTAACCTGAACTAGAGATGATAGACTGTAGTCTAGATGATTTCATCAGAGCAAAGCTGCAGCGTAGACCACATTAGTTCTTAATCCAAAATACTGAACAGGTTACATCTGGGCTGAAGGAGAGTGATTTAAACTGCTTTGATTTTTATTTTTTTAATAAAAACATAAAATGACAGACATTGTTGGTGTATTTCAGCATTAGGAACGCCTCAGATCGAGACAGGAAAGAACATTTTACTCCCTAACATCAACGCTCCCCATCCCCAGCAGTGAAGACAGTGATGACAGCATTGACAGGCAATCTGTGAGATGTTGGAGAATAAAACCAGCGTCTAAACTTAAGCGTGCTGCTGGGGTCCAGTTCTAAAAATCGTCCATTCGAGTTATTTCCACCAAAACTGTGAGAAACTGCTGTGAAACACTGGAACCCAGAGCCTCCGGGCTGCATTTCTGAGGGAGCCGGGGCGAGACCAGAAACAGCGCCAGCCCTGTCAGCCCAGCATGCCAGCAGCCTGGCACCCGCCGGCGCTGACCCGGATCAGTCTGCTCCGCTAACACCGCTATTGTCAGCCTGCTTTCACACCCTGAATAGACGCAGTCAGATGGGAGTGACATGTTTTGGTTTTGTGCAGACAACTGCAATAATATCCACTTCCTGACTTTCACACTTCATAATTCCGTGAGCAGAAATGGAAAGAAGGAAAGCCAATCCTCCGTCTGTCAGCCGGCGGGCGGGGCCGCAGCTCTCCTCGGACGGGGCAGAAACCAAGCAGTCGGTCAGATCGCTCACTTCATTTTTTTTTCTTTGTTTACAATTTTCAGAATCGGAACAAGCAATCGCCTGATAATGATGCGTAAAATAAAATATTCACTCCCCTTCAATACTCACATTTGTTCATGGTACAACTACAAACTTCAATTTACTTGTAGCAGGGCCGGGGATTTATCGCGTCGTTTCTCATTTATTGCGATACATTTTTTTGGATAAGCGTTGTGATTAATGTTTAAAATCCCTTAAAGCTGTCCGTATCGTTGGGATTGTGAATTTCACTAATCTCCCCACAATTTGCTTCATTATCAAACGTTTGAAAATTGCAATGAAATCGTTTAAACCGGAATATATTCACGTGTTTAAATGGCCCAGTCAAAGTCCAGATCTACGTTACTACAATATACTTCCACATCATGGTTCTTGCATCACTTTTTCACCCGAACATTTCGGTTTTGCTGTACAGACTGAAAAGCTTATTTTCTTATTTAAAGATCTTGTGATTGAAGTTTCTGCCCTTTTCTATTTAATTTTTTTTAAGCTGCATTGTTATTGAGGAGTGTCCTTGTCAAAATAAAAGCTGTCAAATAAGACCAGAGGAGATGTCCCAATGCTTTTAGAAGCATTTCTACATTTTCTTTTTTTGCTAATTATCAAACCCAAAAGCGAGTGCAAGAAAACGTGAATTGTTGATTCTGGTTTTAAAAAAAGAAAAAAGGAAAGCATTTTTCTTTTCGAGCGTCTTGAGGTTCTGGGAAAGCGGTCCCGTTACCTTTCTGCCTGCCTCGTTGTTGTGCAAGTTCATCAGGCGGCGGGGCGTCTTCTTGATCTCCCGGGCGTCCACGAAGCGCCGCGAGAACTCGATGCCGTACTTGATGTCGGCCGAGCAGCCGCCCCACTTCCAGCCTTCCTCCTGGTTGTAGTAGCCCTGCTTCTCCCGGTCGCAGCCGCACTGGCTCAGGTTGCCCTGGCTGCAGGCGGCCGTGATGGCGTGGGCCACCCCCGCTGCCGTGATGGCATAGGTGAAAGCTGCTTCCCGACTGCCTGAGGGAAAGACAGTAGATTGTTTTTAGAAAAAAAAAAAAAGGTTAAAAATAAGAAAGGAGTCTTTTTTTTTTTAAAGCAAACATTCTGGAGATCAACGAAAAGTAGGGGGAAAAAAGTGTACATATAATTAGTCGTAACGCCTTTTCTTGTAGGTAATTCTGAGTAGAACAGATTCTAAATTCGGGGCATCGTCCTAATGTGTCGCCAGCTTCCCTCCTGCACCTCGGTACGAATACGGTTGCATTCCTGACCGCAGCGTCCTCGGGCCCGGCCCAGAGAGAGCGCAGCGTCAGAATTCCAGAGTGGGGAGAGATTTTTTTCGGTGCTGTCCAAAGTGCTGAATTCCTCCGCAGGAGCACCTTGTTCTGCTGCCCACTCTGCACACGGCCCGGGGGCTGCGGGTCCCCTCTCCTCACTGACGCACGCGCGCCTCGTTTATGAGGAGAAATCGCTCCATCGTGTCCAGCGGTGACAAGGTGTTCACGTGATAATGGAGGCGGCTGGATCTGCTGGGGCCGGTATTAATGCTGGTGGAAAAGTCGGGCTGATCCAGGTCTGTGTTTTGGCCCTGCTGCCGTTAGTTTAAAAATATATATATATATTTCCAGAGTTTCCAGGACAAAGGGAAAGTATGGAATTCGATTTAAGCAGCTCTCAGGTTCTGGTGGAAAAGGGAAGCAGTGTATTAGAATAAATGGATGTTCAGGCTTAACGATTCTAATTCTTTAAAAACTAGCTGCTGCCATCTATCCGTCCGTCCATCTACTCGTCTGTGGTGTCCTGTATAAACGTGACTTCTATAGAAAGGTCTCGGTATGTGGTTAAGTTTTAAACATTTAAAAATCCAACCAACGTTTAAAAGTTCAGAGCTGAAGGCCAAAAACGCTTCTCTGTTACCAATCAGTTGTAATTTTTAAAGCGGCAATGTTATTTATTTTCCAAGCACAAAGTTCCATTTAATAGCACAATCAATTTCTTCTCCTCGAGTTGATATAAAAATATACCAAATATGCCTTAAAAAAATTTGACTCTGTAATTTATCGACCTGAAATTGGGCCTCTGTCTCTTTAAGAAGCTCCTGCTCTTTTCAGCACTCTGTCTGCAGCAAGTCATGACACGGCTCCTCTATTAACCCGTTAATATTTTTACCAGCGTTACGCTGAGAATTAGCTTGCATAATTAGCTCAGCAGATGTGCAGTTCCTCCAGGTGTTTGCTAATTGCTGCCAGCTAGTCTTAAGGAGCTGAGTGGGGGGAAGGAGAGGGCTGCTCTGTGAGGCCGTAGCTTGGAGACTGCAACTCCGAGCTTCGTGGTGAGATCAGGCGTTTTGCACAGCTGACTAGTTGCCACGGGAGACTAAAGGATTTCTCAAACATGTATGAAAGAATCAAAGCAACAATCCAGGTATGTTTTTGATGAGGAAATGACATCACAACACCATGTAAAGCTCAAAAAAGTTGAATTTACATAATACTCCCCCCCCCCCCAAATGGGCAGTATTTATTGTTTCAGCTCTGACTCATATAATCTTGTCATGACATCTTTTGACATGTCTGTGGGACTTGAGCACAGATGTAGCCACAAAGAATCATTAATCAATTATCGAAATAATCACAAACTAATTTAGTGAACAATTAATCGTTTACTGGAGTGTACAGACTCAGAAAAAAGCCATTTGTTTAAAGAACAACACAGAGCAGAAAAGATAAAGCTGTATATAAATATATATAGAAGACAGAAACAAATCTTTGTAAATATATTCTACTCAGAACTCCTCAAGTGGTACAGCTTCAGCTTTACTTGGTTCAACGTCTTTTTTGTTGTTGTTGTTTTACATCCGATTAATCGATTAATCATCAGAATATTTGATTGAGTAATTGACTAGTAAAAACAATGTTAGCCCTGATTGTCTTGTGCTTCACTCCAGTTGTTGGCATTAGCCTTGGTAAATTATTTCTGAATTTTCACAACCCAAACTCTTTGTGACAATTTGCTTTTCTTAAATGGTTTTCAGAGGAGCGGAGTGGAACATATGAAGACAACTCTGGGAACAAACATGGGACAGTACGCGTTCGTAAGCAAGTACTGGAAACCTGAATTCAGGAGCACAGTGGTGACATTTTGTTACCGTGGGAGATGAGGTTCAAATCAACCAATCGCATGGCAGCCACTCAACGCAATTGGCCATCTACACACTTCAGAGTGAGGGCTTGAATAACTTTAGAACGTCATGTGAGAACATCAGATGAGCTGCAGCTGCATGGACTAAAACAAAAACAATTTGTCAGAAGCACCGATTGGTTCAACATTACAGAAAGGTTACAGTAGCTCAGGTAACCACCGGTTTCAACCAGAAATATCTGAAAGTTCATAAGCTGCACCAGCAAAACATCGCTTCCAAACTGGGGCTACAATCTGCAGGCTTGATTTCAGCCACGACATTTGGACGGTCCGGTGAAAGATAAAAACCAAAACAAACAGGATGGATCCATCCTCCCTCGAGAGCATTTATGAAGCAAAACCTAAACTTTGGGGTCTTAAAGCTGTGCTTACCAAAAGCAGGAAGTAGTTGAAGACAAAGTGTATAGTAACTGTCTAATATTACCACTCGTTAATAATCCCTCTGAAAGATGTTCAAAGCGCTACAAAGTGATAGCTTTCAACACTTTATTTAGGTATCCAAAAAAAAGTATCCATGGAAACACATGAATTACATTCTCCATTCCCTGCAGATGCAGAAAATTGATGAACTTTAAAAAGAAAAACCTAAATGTAAGAGAGAAATGGAAAAAAAAAAACTATGTCTGCATCTTTTTTCCCCCCGCTATATTTAAAAAACTCTAAAAATATTAAGTTGGAGGAAGTTAATAAACATCACTGCAGTCTGATTTAAACCAAGGTTGAACGTTAACTTCCGTTTGGTGATTATTTTGCCTTTTGTACCATGTTTTATGAGACTCTTAAATAAAAAAACTAATTTATTTTTATGTACTGCTAATTATAGTGCATTTATGATGCCGTTTGCAGCTGTTTTACAGCTGATTTCCTCCACAGATGGGCTTTTTACACCTCTCAATCGGGACTCGGGGGTAATTTTTTTTTTCTCAACTCTCCAACATGTTTTCACCCAAAGCTGCTGTTAATTTCCCATCCTGGGACTGGCACTCTGCAGCTAATACCATGGCCACAGGTTTTGCCCAGAGGCGACTGACTCACCACCGCTTGCTTTTTTTGGTTAGCAAGCTAGAGCTGTGCCCCACCAGCTTGTGGTAACGTTCTGCTGCCCCTACCTCACACACACACACACACACACACACACACACACACACACACACACACACACACACACACAGCAAAGTGACTGGCCTCCACCCTGACACACATCCACTGTTTAAAAGGCATTTTGTACATAGATGCACAAACAGAGTGACACTGTAATGTTTAAAACAGGACAAAGGTAGTTTCCAGAGAAAGGGTGGTTCCCTCGGCACATTTCCGGGCCCGTCGGGCTCTGCCGTTCACAGGGGGAAACGCATGATGATGAGGTTGTTGAGGTTTTTACCCCCCCCCCCTCCTCAGAACTCCCTCTCCTCCTCCCGACGGGTCTGGGGTCGGAAAACCTTTCCGGCTGAAGAAAGTCCGTAACTTCACAAGCAGAATTTGCTGGCTTTGGCTTGTCAAATGAGTCGAGCGTTAAGACTACCCGCGCTAATTACTCTGCACTTTACTCCCGTAAAGCTGATGCCCCGATTGGCCGGAACTGCGCTAAACGCACCCATTAGGGCATCGAAAATCCCTAAAGAGCCTTAGCCCCAAACGTTCTGACAGTCCTCCAGCAGGAACCACCCTGGGATAGCCTCGCCGGCTGCCAGTGGAAAGTTGGCCTGACTGGAGAAACCTCAGTGCATTTGGAAACATCCAAGAGAGAAGAATGGGGGCTATATTAAACCAGATGTCTAATGGAGTTTAGTGGCAAGTGTCTGCTCCGGTAGCCAAGAAGGAAGGCGAAGCAGATCAGCATTACTTTTCCCCAAAATGTGGTGTGGGAGGTTATAAACAACCAAAACATATCCTGTTATATTCCACCATGTCAGTAGCAAAAAAAAATTAAAAAAAAAACAACACAAAATGAACTGAAGGATACTGAGTCAGTCTGCTTTTGGCCTACACATTAAACACCCACATCACTTTGGAAACCGGCCCCAGCTGAGATGCCCGACATGTTTTTGTTTTTCGTTTTTGTTTTTTTTCACCGTCTGTCGGAACCAAGACACACAGACAGACACACACACACACACACACAAAGAAATATATTTATATACAAGGATGTAGCGGCTGGCCACTGAAACGGCGATCTGTGTTTAGAGATGGAGGGAAGCATTGAATATGACACAGCACGGCAGATTTACAACCAGCAATACTGCGCAGGCAGCGCTGGTGTAGCATAAACTGGATGATGTTAACACAGCCGCTGACCTCAACAGGCCTTGGTTTGTCTGCTGATCACAGACCGAGGCTGGGCCGTGCTGCTAACAGGAGAGGAAAAGGAAAAAAGATATACTGGTGGGATTTGGACAAAGGCTTGGCTGTGGAGAGGCAAACAAAACACACAGCTGGGTTTTTTTCGTGTCCGTACGCGACTACGCGGAGAGGCTTGAGAGAGCATCTGAGGTTTTTTTTCCCCCGCATTCTGTCACGTCACAAGCGGAAACGTTGACGTTGTGGCGCTGGGATTTTTATGTGACAGACGGCCGCAAAGCGTTGCAAGATTTTATTTAAAAAAACTTGGAATTGGGTTTATGGGATGTTTATAAACAAAAACCTAAAAGAAAAAAGAAAAAAGTGCGACATCCTTTCTTATCCATCTGCTCCATCAAGTCTGACCATCCCTCCTCTCACAAAACATGATGCAGCCACCACCTTGATACTAGGTGCTTTCTACTTGAAGCTTCTGGTTAAGAAAATCAAGAAAATGTGTTAATTCAGACCATAAAATA